AATGAAATCTACCCGTTTATTCATATTTTTTAAATTTTATATAAGTGACAATTCTGTTAAACTAATTGTTAGCATATTTTTTAGTTATTGAGATTAAATATACGTAAAATGAGTTATTCTGGTGTTGAATCGATAAATTAGCATTTCTATTTTATTTCGTCCACATTTAGAAATTAATCTTAAATTTTAATCAAACTATATGAAACTAATTTAATTACGAGTATTAAAATTAGTGGAGATGAGGATATGGCATCTGTGTTCTACCTATAAGAGGCCCGGGTTCGAATCTGAGCCGAGGACTAAAATTAAATCTTTCTTTCATGTTTAATTTATACATTAGTATCTGTTCAGCAACAGTAGATAAAATAAGGCAAAACGAGAAAGTTCCAAATTGGCATATATTAAAAGTATAACTGACAATTATGCGCTAGTTCAGTGATGATGTAATTATGGTTCCACTGACAATTAAAGTGACAGTAGATTTTTTGAATGCGTTTTGTTCGTTTTGTTTACCTACATTATATCGTCGTTTTGCTTTTATAAATATATTCCTAAAGTAAGTAGATAACATGCATCAAATATACAATCGTTTAGTTACCAATTACATACCTTTAAACTATTTTTTATGACCTGTAAACAATATTTAGAAATAAACTAAAAACAGTAAAAACGTATATGTCAAATTTATTGATGTTTTTGTTAAAAGTTTAGTTAAAATTAAATGTCAGTGGAACCAAAATGACATCACACTGAAGTAGCGCATTTATATATAATAACACTGACAACTAAACTCATAAATAACTTGGTTAAAAACGAAAAGGCATTATCTTGCCTGCTAAGTACCTTATTAACACGTCCCCTCGAGATAAAGCCTATTTATTTATTAAGTTCATGAGTCCTAGCATTTTAACACATACTTCATGCTTATATCTAGGTAGTCCCTTAGTAAGTATATAGGCCGGCATACTGGCAGTAGGTTTAAGTACAAGGATCAGCTGTGTTTTCGAAATAGTTTCTCTTATGAAGTGATATCTCATGTCTATGTGCTTACTTCTGGCGTGGAAGGTTGGGTTTTCAGTAAGTTTTATGGCACTGAGATTGTCATTGATATTTGAATGAGAAGTCTTGTAGTTTTAACTCAAACAGTAACTTTTCCAGGTATATCGCTTCTTTCGTAGCTTCAGTGAGTCCCATATACTCTGCCTCTATGGTGAAAAGGGCAACTGTACGATGTATTTTGCTATCCCAGGATATTGGGCCACCATTTAACATAAAAATGTAACCGGTGAAGGAACGTCTATCATCTGCATTGTTCCCCTAGTCAGCATCCACATACCCATTTACTCCTTTTTGGTCGTACTTGAACCTTAGTCCTAGGTCGACGGTACCCTTTAGGTACTTCAGTACTCGCTTAGTTGCTGTCGAATGTGGTTTTCGGTAGCAATTATTAAACTGGCCTAAATAACTCACCACAAAACTTATATCAGGTCTTGTAGTAATAGCTAAGTAAGTTATTGCCCCAATTCGTTCTCTGTACGAAAATTTTCTTTCTTCATCATTGGGTTCTTCGATAGGTTTACATAATTTTACATTTTGATCTATTGGAGTGCATACTGGGTTTGCATCATTCATATAAACACGTTCAAGAAGTTCGTTGATGTAACCTCTTTGAGTGACATCGTTTTAATGACGAATTAATTTTATTCCCAGATAATAACCTACGTCTTCCATGTCTTTGATTTCAAATTTGTTGGTTAAAAACTGTTCAATATTCCTTATCATATCTACATTTCTAGAATCAATTAAAATATCATCTACATTCTTCCTTTCCGGGAAGTACAAACATCTGATCCTATTTTTTACCTATTCGGTAGAGGCAAGGATCAGCAGAGGTAGGTTCAATTCCGAACGAAACCAGGACTTTATTTAGCTTCTTTTGCGTTTATAACCAAGTTATTTATGAGTTTAATTGTCAGTGTTATTATATATAAATAATTGTTAGTTATACTTTGAATATATGCCAATTTGAATCTTTCTCGTTTTACCTTGTATTACCTACTGTTGCTGAACATATTCTACTCAACCGATTATGGGCCCAGTTGTAAAGGCATAAGCATTAAAAGTAAAAACGAGACCATATATTCGTTTAGTGCTGTAAAAAAAACTCCCAGTAGAAAAATATTTTTTCTTTGCCTCTCTTACTGTACAAGTATCAGAAATCTTGTGAATAATGAGTATTCCTAACATGGCCATGATTGTAACTCTAAATAGAAATAATTATGATACCGGGAAAATGCAAATGGAGGCGTTACTAATAAAGAACGTGCTTGGGATTACGTTTACGGTGGAAAGAAGAATCAAAATTTAGATCCCGGAAAGGAAGAATCCAAGAAGGATGACAATAAGGTGAAGTCCGATATTATCCTATCAATAAGTCCGTCAGGACTGAAACAAATTAAGGGATGTACAACTTCGAGGGATGTTTGGTTAAAACTGCAGAGTATTTACCAATCGAAGGGACCCGCAAGGAAGGCGATACTTCTAGAGATTGCTTGCCAATGCCAGAAATTCTTCGTGTAAAAATCATAGAATATGATACTAGAAAAAGTGATTCTCGTGATGTTCAAAATGCCATGTATAGTAAGAAATCATCTAACAAACGGCAGAAAAATCTTGTCGATAACAAAAACCAGCCCCCTGGACCTAGCAAAGATGAAATCAATTCTGAAAGATTTAAATTTCGTTGCCACAAATGTCGCAGCCTCCGAGTGCAGAAATAATTGCAACCCTTTTGCACAATATATCGAAGATAATGAAGATGGAAATATCCTTTTGTCTGCGGTAGAAGTAGATGTGAACCACGTCGTAGTACCTACAGGGCCTCTAAGTTGGTGCATCGATAGCGGAGCTACTTCACATGTTTGTAACAATCCGGAACTCTTCAAAAATAGCGGTACAGCAACAATATTTTTTTGTACCGGATTTACGTACTAATTTATTATCAGTGTCAAAAATGACGAATAAGGGTTATGAAGTCTTATTTACTAAAGAAGGTGCATTAGGGTATGAATCTAAATCGAATTAACAGCAGAACGCATTGGAGATTTGTACTATATTCGTGTTAATTTCAAAGACAAACCACGTGATTCAGGTTTGCTTCTCGTACTGGTAACGACGCTATAGAACTCTGGCACGACTTGGTCACCTAAACCCAGATGATTTATTAAAAGCACATTGTCTGAATTATATCCAGGGTATTTCAATTAAACATGATAATTAAAAACTAGAGTGTGAAATTTGTTATCATGGAACACTCCGCCTACGGCGTCGTGCCCAATCTTCGTCTAGTGTACGCAGTGCCGATTCAAATTAAAGAAGAGTTACGAAATCATTGCCAAACCATAAGAAACTTCCCGGAAATCTTTGAAAATGTGCGTCAGTTTATGCGAAGAAGATAGATGCTTGCATACGTGTGGGTGGAGGTCACTTCCAGTAATTACCATAAATAATTTGGATTCTTTATTTTGTTTGTATTCTCTTGTCATTTCGCTTTAGATTTAAGATCTTGAATTTATCATTTAACTAAATGAATCGCTATTTTTAAAATAGAATTTAAAAAATCAGAGGCGTACCATTTTTTTATCATATTATTCAATTTCATATCTACATGGACGTCACTGGTGGAGGTAAAAAATAATATTTCAACCAAAAAAGTGTTTCTACGCATGGTAAGTGCCTACTAAATTTCAGAAAAGGGTGCGTCGTACGAAAGTAAGTCTTAAGACCAAATTTGCTCTAACATAAATAAAGATTTCAAAAATAATTTTGTTTTTTAAAAAAGCACTGCCGCAGCATTTTTTTCTTCAAAAATTATCAGTTTAGACCCAGTACGAACGTCACTGGTAAAAATTTAAAACAATCTTTTGCGCCCAGTCCAAAAATGCTCCTTAATGATTTAAAGATGTGTAGAAAATTTCATAACACCCTGTAGCTCAAAAATTAAGAGGTTTATGACATATTAACTTTTCTTCTTAAAATAACCCAAGAATTCACACCCTTAAGTATCGGCAGTCAATTAATAAACTGTATAAGGGATATTCAAATGTATCAAGCCTGCGTGCCAAACTATCACGGAATATTGCTGAGAATATTAGTTTTCTTCGTCTACTTTCTCAGGGATATTGGTTAAAACCAAATTTGTACTACTGGTTTTAGTCGGTTTAGAAGTGGCCTCTAGAACTTTTAGTAGTAGCTTCTAGATAAAATTAACGACACATACATACTTTATCTTTAGAAACAAAATACCTACCTAACAAAAAACAGAAGTCAATAATGGTCTAAGATACGAAGTAAGGTCGACATTCACCCATCTGTTGATTGGATTAAAGTTTCTTTTCATTAAATAAAATATGTTTATAAATACACCTCAAATGGGTTGCCTAAGAAAATACGGTCCAGGCTATTTATTTTCTTAAAATAAAAAAAACGACACCCTGTAAAGTATTCCCCAGATGCTCCGACTATGCCCAAACTTTAAATAATAGAGAATGACATCATAAGCAATTTTTATCATGATTCCTATACTTTCCTTATCTGTACACAGAAAGGAAAGTAAAAAATGGCCGTGACCGTATTTTCTTAGGCAACCCATTTGCGGTATATTTAAAAACATATTTTATATAATAAAAAGAACTTTTATCCATTAAACAGTTGGGTGAAGGTCGACCTTACTTACGGATCCTGTACTATAAGAGGTGTAATAAGATGGTAAAATGTTTCTATTGTTTTCATAATTTTTTTTGTGTCATCGACATCAACTGCTATGGTTATTAGCCTCGTGTTCTGTGTAGGCTTTGTTACTGTTTCCCAGCGCCACTTTAGGAACAGCACTGTTAATTAGAACCCAACAGTGAATGGTCGAGTAGGATAAATATTTTCATTTTTGTTTGTTTAACAAATAGGACGCTAAGACATTTGTGTATGTAACCCGCTCTACTCACAACTAACCCAAGTGATGTCGCACACTTGAAAATCAAATGGAAATTTTTTCAGGTTCATCCAACAGTAGAAGAGAGTACTCATCCTGTACGTGAAAATAACTTCTCCATCTGGAAATATTTGAACAAAAACGTCTTTTGCACTAAGTCCCATAAGTGAGGATTCTTTTTCATTGGCCATGATAATATGGGGCACCCATAATTTATTTCTTAATGCTTGTTCTCCTATTATTATTTCTCTGCGAGGAGACACTTCTTTATATCTCAGTCTTTCATCTCTGTAACGAAGTTGGACTAGCATATGCGCCTTCAGTTGCTAAAAAGTATAAATAGAGTTCAGTTAATGGGGTTATTTTAAGTTATTTAACGAGTTCAACGACGAAGCACTACTAGACAAATCCATTCATTCATAATTAAGCCCTTTTTTATTGCAATAATTCAGATTGTGTTTATTATTACAAAGATAGAGCTGTCGAATCGGCTTCCACATTAGAAAGAAGGAGACAACTGTTAATTTGGATGGGGATGGCATAGTGCCTCAGTTGCACTAAACATTCCTACCTTAGAACATCACACGCTTGTCATCTTTCTGGCAATATTCAGTATGTGGCAACCTTGGTAATAAAATTAAACTCACTTCCTTACTACGGATCTAGATATATTCATTATGACATTTATATTTTTTACACATGCCGTTTCGTTTCTTTTTCTTAAATATATATTTACATTTTACTATTTACAAGTTTATTTAATGTTGGGATCAACCATTAAAAGATTCCACATTGATGACCCTGAAGAATCCGTACCTATGATTCCACATCACTCAATAAGCCAGCAAAGGCAGCTGAAGCGATAAAATCAGCAGCAGCAGCAGCGTACAGCAACAGCAACAGCAACAGGATCAGCAGGACTAACAACAGAGCGAGTTTAATTTTTAATGGCTGCCACATTCTAAATTTAACTTCGTATACATTTTCGAAAACAAAAAAACCATTTCTTTTAAAGTTTATAACATACAGCCTGAGAATAACAACCACAGTGAAGCGACAATAACTGTCGGTTCTTTGAAGTTTGGAGAGTAGTATTTTGTGACCTTGAATTTGACTTATGAGATGGATGGCCGGTGTATTACACCAAGAAAAATATTTATGGAGCGTAATAAATGTTATACACAAAAAAAATATATTAAAATTAAAAATATTTGAACTTATCGTGAATAAAATTTATATATTAAAACATTGGTTTTTATTACAGTAGTTCCTGTCATGTTAAAACTTTTATTTTGATTTTTCTAAAAACAAAAATAAAGAACATGCTAAAAGACCTTTCCCGTTATTATTGATATCTGTTACTCATGTGAAAATCCTACTTCCTGTTAAAATTAAAATTTTATTGCTGTTATGTTTCCTACTCAGTTTCAATTAGGCATTTCAACCTTTCAACGACTTGTCAAAATGCTGCCAGTGATAACTGACAGTTTATATATCAATCTATATAACTATGGGTCTATTTCACATAAAAGAAAATCAAAGTATGTGGTCTATTTCCTTGCATCGAAAGTGTAGCACACAACTTCTGAAAATATCGTTTCATCCATACAATTTGTGTAAATGGAACGATATTTTCAGAAGTGGCGTAGCTCAGTGCTACATTTTTGATGTAAAGGAGTAGATCCTATCATCCTATCAAACTCCAGGTTCACATTGTTGCCATATTATGTGTTGCCTATCATGTGCCTGTCATTTCAAACGGGCAGCCATTTTGTTTGGAATGCCTAACAGGTGAGGATAAAAGAGATATAAAAATAGATTTTATGGAAAATTACTATATTTAACAGTGCCGCGCTTTTTTCGAGCATGAGTAATGGGAAATGGTAGAATAACAGGAAAGGTGGATTGTCAGTTTTTAAAATAGGAAAAACGAATCGGCAAATAGCAAGAATCACAAAACTAGTTAAACTGGCAAGCTGTCAAGTTATCTATGTGGCAAGTGTGTTGAAATTGAAATGACAGCCGGGTTAACCTCCACTCCATTTCTTTGGCGGGAACGGCTTTGTCGCTTCTCTGTGGTTGTTATTCTCGAACACAACCCTACTAAAAATATTTTTTAACAAAGGAGATAGAAAACTCCGCCATTTTGAACCCTTATTACGTGTTGTCTACATCTTGGCGCAATATTTTTAATAGGTGCGTTTTAATCATCCGCTTCTGCTTCGGAATTGTCGGTTTTCTTGTTTTAATCTGACAGGTTAAAACAACTAAACCGACCATTCCGGAAGCAGAAGCGGATGATTAAAACGCGCCTGATGTTTTGCTTGCTGATGTCAGTGTCAGTGAATATTATTTTTGGAGTCACAGTTTATTGCTAAAGAATCAGTTAGCTCACTCGGACCAGTTGAAAGTTCCAAAATAACATCCACTCTAGTGATACAAATTTAGAATACGCAGAAGACTGCTGTTTTATTATAGGCGGTTGTCATATATTTTATTATCCGAGTTGCGCAGTGTATAAACTGGAACATTGAGATAAAAAGTGCAGACGCACAGTGAGCGATCTGATTCTTTTGCTTTAAACTGTGGCATAGGAATCAAAATGGTCGCGCCCTATGTTGGGCGTGTCGGACCTATCTCTAGCACCGTATAGTAATCAAAGTATGTGTTACAATGTATATTCTTTTTATTACACACCTCTTACTTCTAATACTCTAATTCAAAAAATGTATTCTTGTAAAACGAACAACTTTTGTGTCTACGTGACAAAAAGATAAACCTATTAATATCACCCACTAGACAGTATTTTTGTCACATACTTTGATTTTCCAAAGTATGTGATTTTTGTTCAATATGTACAAAAACAACTTAACACATTAATAAACGAACGTTTGTATGTCAAAAACACAGGGCGTAGGAATGCCGAATTTATAAATTACAATAAAATAAAGCTCAAATAATCTTTTAGGTTATGTTCCGTTATTAACCGAAACATCGGTTACTCCTCGGTACAAAACTAACCGCTCTGCTTGACATTCCTGAAAAATCGGTTAAATTAGGGACGCGGTGGCCTGAAAATGGTGACTCAATCGTCAATAATTCACTAACCGCTATATTTTTACGGTTACTATTAAGTCGAATGTCAATCTATCACAAAAGTGCCTTAAATCTCGGCCGTGATTGAAATATAACTAAGAAATTTGTTTTTTTCAGAAACCGCTGTCAAAAAATTCTGGTTATTTGCGGTTAGTAGTCGGTTAATATCGGACCAAACCCTTAAATTATTGAATCTTACCAAGTAATCTGCAGACTCAATATGAGTCATATCGAATCGAAAGTTTACTACTAGATGATCTGGCGGCTTAATAAATCTGTCATATCGACAGGTATCTGTTAAAATTGTTGAGAACTCCTCCTGTGTTGTTAGGTCCAAGTCGGGGATTGTGCTCAAGTTGGGACAATCATCCACAGGCGGTAGTACTGCAATTACTGGCACTATATTATTTGGTTGAGTAATCTACAATAAATTAACAATTTTACAATTCAATTAGGCATTAGGTTATGGTATGGCAACATTATGGCAACCCTGTAAGCCTAGTGATTTGACAGGGCCAATGAAATATATTGATCATCCATGTTTTTCAAAATAAACATAAGTTTATGCCTTGAAGTAAAAATGTAGGTAATTAACATTATCATTGACCCTGTCAATAACACACAGGCCACAGGGTTGCCATATCTAAACGTCAGTTCCCACTTGTCATTATTTTGACAGATCGTTGGAATGCCTAATAGAATATATTTAAATTGCATATTTTATTTAAAGAGGCAATTACAGTTCATCAAATTTCTAGAGGTGTTTGACGCCCAGACAGAGAACGCGCTACGTGTAACTAAGATAGCTATTGTACAGTCTGCTAAACAAGTTATTTTAAATAGTTTTTAATATTTTTAGGTAATTAAATTTTAAAAGTGTGGAATAGTTTAGGGATTAAATTGGTCTGATTGGACTTTCTTAGAACGTTTTTAAAAGCAGCTAAAGATAGTATGTAGAATTGAAAATAATTATTATGCCATAAAAGGTGTTTTGGAATTCCTTCAACCTTTTGAAATTGAGTCAGAATATATAAATTTTATAGGATAGCGGAAAATACCTATAATTTTTTTGTAGGCCTTTGTAAATCATGGAAATAGGTTATATTTTATTTCTACCTTATTAAGGAAAATGGTACCTATTATTAATAACGGTTGTTTCTGAAACATTACTAAAATTTTCGAAATTTTGTTTTTTTACAAAATAATAAACTATACTATTTAGAAAAAAATTTATTTCTCTTATAATTTTATAAAAAATAACAGGGGAATATTTACATTTCTTGATCTATTAAACAAAACGATAAATTATCTCGACGAATGACACCATGTTCTAGTACGGAAGCTAGCTTTACATTTTTGTTGGTGGTTTCATGGGTTTCATATCAATTTTTTGTAATTGTAGTTTACACGTACATATACCTCTTAACACTTGTTTGCTTTATTAAAAAAGTGTGTTGTGATTTACGTCGAAATAAGTCAAAAACAACTTGAAACCCCATATAAAATCAAAAAGGAGAAACGGAAAAAAATTGAGCCTGTAAGTGAACACAACTCAGAAACAAAAATAGCTATCTAATAATAAAAAAATAAAATTTGATTCTTGTGCAGCTTCATCTATATCATTAACTGTTTTTGGTTTTTTAATGGTTTTTCTTGGTGATGAAAATTCCGATATCTCACGGTTATCGATTAATTTTTTCTCTCCAGAAATGCGGACGACAGTGTTTTTAGATACTCCTGTGGCTGCAGCAACACGATCATTTACATTTTTAAATGGTATTGAAGGTGAATTAAAGTTTCCTTCTCTTCTCATAAACTCTATAACATTGGCTATTATTTCGCGAGATTGACTGTTAATCACGCGGCCTCTTAATTTGCTATTAAACTCCATACTTAGATTCTATTAAACTGTAATGAGCAAAAAACACAAACGAAAATAAAAGAAATGTTTTAGCGAAATTTACATCTGACATTTACGTCTGAATGAAATAGTGAAATACTTGATGCGCAGAGTGTACTTTCATTGCGTAAATCCGTCGGGATGCCTGTCAGTAGTGCTTTCTCTGTCTAGCCGTCGAAAGCCTCTAGAAATTTGATGAACTGTACAATATGATCATTCAGATTATCATGCTATATGAAATCCTAATTTTAGTGTCATTTTGATATTTTTAATATTTATATACAAATTGTGCTTACCAAAGGATTAGTAGTTGTAGTAGTAGTAGTTGTTGTTGTACTTTGGTTAATTATTTGGCTAACTGGTACCTCTGTGCTTTGGTTTATTGTTGAGTTTTGTGTTAGTTCTGTTGTATTTTGGTTTATTGTTGATGTTGGTACTGATGGAACTGGTATTGTGTCTAAGGTCGTATTTTTAAATAAAATTGTTGTTACTGATGATGTTGAAACATCTCTTGGTATATTCATTATTGATGAGCCAGTTGCAGCGTCGATAGATCGACTGAAAAATTTAAATAATTGGTAAATAAAGAAAAATATAATATAAATTTTATAAAACCAGTTTTTTAAAAGTTTTATATTCCCAAACTAGACAATTTTTAGGTTGAGAGTCATTTTACAAAACGATTATTTAGAGCAAACCGAGTTTAAAGTTTTAAAATTGCATTATGATATGGTCATGATACCTCTATGTCTTATGAATAGCAGTTATTTATCAAAATTGAAAATAAGACCTATTACATACAAATAATATAGGGTATTTGAGGCTATAAAAATCATTTTTGAAAAATGTGACATGACATCATTATCCACTTGTGTGTTCAATAGGCAACGTGTAAGTTACAAGACAATTACAATATTACTTCTATTATCTGTTATGTATTGTGTCGAGCATAAAGCTGTTCCAAAAAGGCCTTAAAAAACAAGGAAAAAGTCTAAAAATTATTCTTAAAGAAATGTAGGCTGTATCAGTTTTATGGAGCCGGGCTACCATGGGGTGATAGAAGCCAACCAAAGGACCACTTACCAAAATGGGTGCATCTATAGACATGTGTGTGCGACAACAAGCACACATTTTGACGAGCTGAGAGGCAGGTCCTATAAACCACTCGAGGATACATCCTTCCACACCTCACAGACACCGATATTAGCAGCTTAGAGTAAATTGTTTAACATAGTCTACAATTGCCAAATGACGATTCCGTCTAGGCCATCCTGCTGACATGGTCATATCGGATGTTACTGAAGAAACCAAGTGTTTGGTACTGGAAGATGCACGAATAAAGAAACGACGATTGGCAGGATGGTTCGGAGTTTCAGAAACTACGATTTTCAGAATAATCCACAAATGCCTTAAAATAAAAAAGGTTAATGCGACATGGGTGCCACAAATTATTTCAAATGTGTGTCTGAATAGAAACATGGGAACCATTTTTGATGCACTGTAAGATGAACTAAATTTTGATATCAATATACTTGTCACAAAATGATACCTGGGTCTATCATTTTGTTCCTGAATCGTAACAAGAATCGGTGTTGTGGCATATTAAGGGTTCCAGCCTTCTCAAAAAGTTTAAAGTCACCTCTTCTGAAAGAATAAAGGAATAGTCAATTAATTTAAATGCTTGATTATCTGAAAAAGGGCAACAGGAGATAATTATGCGAGGTTATTGCGCCGCCTCATAGAGTCTAATATCAAAGTAAAATGGCGAGGAAAACAACTGACGTAAAGTGTCCTGTTCCTCTACGATAATGCACCATTGCACACGTCAGGTGTTTCAAAATCTGCCATTGATTGTATGTAGTTTTATAGAAGTCGACTATCGGATTTATAGTCCAGATTTGACCACACATGACTATTTTTTGTATCCCAATTTAAAAAAAAAAATAAGGTAGAAAATTTAGGAACTGGCAAAATAACAGGAGCCATAAAAACCACCACACCATCCAGAGCCATGGAAGTCATCTCACTTCCATTGATATTTGCAACAAGGAGCTTGCTTTGATGACAATGACACGCCTCCGCACGGTTGGAATAGAATTTGATGTAGGATCTGGTGAGGCGAGACATCGCTTTTGGCAAGAGGCGCTATTTCAAGCGAACATAGACTCCATCTCACCGAGATATATCTTCTATAAGCCATATAAATTTATAACAGAACAAATAGAAGAGCCGAAAGTGGCAGGTACGATTCATATCTACACCGGCCATTCTAAAACAAAACAAAGCTCAGAATGTGGACCATATTCCAGATACTTAAACCTAAACATAAAATGGGCTGTGAGCAATATTGCCAGTGTAGTTTGAACCGAGCTCACAGGAATTCTTGTAGCAGAAAAATAAATCACCAGAAATAATATCACTGGAAGAAACATGTTCATCTATACAGATAGCAGAAATGCTACGAATTTACTCAGGGTTAGTACTAGAATGTCACGAAACGTTGGCCAAATTATCTATCAACAATGTGGTTACCTTAAGGTGAATCAAAGGTGACGCCACATCTTGATGATTCACTAGCCAAGAAGGCAGCCAACCAAATATTTTTTGGACCTGTCCCTTCTATTGAACTGACAATATCGATAGTGACAAACCTAATTAAAGAACATTTCCTTGTGAAATTCAAGGAAGGATGCGATGAAACAAGAAACTGCAGTGTAACCCGGGAGCTTTTTAGTTATCCTGACAACACTACATCAAACAAATACTTGACTATGACTAAACAGAATGTACACCTGATCACAGGGATTCTGACTGGTTATTGCCAAGTACTTTGCGGGGGGTGCGAACAAGAAGATGATTAGCGAAATTAGTGAAATAAGACCAATGGGTGAAATACAAATATGGAGTAACTGCATTTTATAGACCACCTCCTATAAACGCCAATCAATTTATCAACGATTTAGAGAATTATTTTTTAAATTTACCATAGTGTGAGATAGACATATTTGCTGAAGATACTAACTTTTATTTACTTAGTTGCTGGGGAGAATGATTTAGTTGATTCTTGCTTAAATGTATTAAATAAACAAAGACTTATTTATTATGTAGACGTTGTAACGAGGGAAGAAGCAAAGACCTGCCGTGATAATTTTTTTGTGGGTTTAGATAATAAAATAGAAAGTAAAACTAACATTAAGCCATGTTTAAAAATATACACGATTACATCTTAAACCCCTTGGCACATATTTTTAACCAAATATTAACGACTGGCAAAATACCGATATTATTTAAAGAATCTGTAATAACACCCGCTATAAATAAGGAAAAAAAGAACTGGCCACTAACTACAGAACCATATCAGTCTTAAATAATGTTTCAAAACTTTTTGAGAAGGTTAATTGAATTTATTAAACAAAACAAAATATCAAGTATAAGTCAATATGGTTTTAGGAAAAACTTTTACTGTCGAGACTCCCTTTGAGACCTTACCCAAAATATTAATAATGGTATTGACAACAATAAAAAATACCTAGCTATATACTTATATTTAGCTAAGGCATTTAACACTGATGATTACAGATTGTTATTAGAAAAATAAGAAAGAATTGGAATAAGATGATTAACGTTGGACATTTTCAGGGACTATCTTTTACAGAGAACCCAGTTTGTTTGAATTGACAACCTACTCAGTGACCCAATAACCGTTTCTAAGGGCGTGCTTCAAGGGACGGTACTTGGCCCAATTCTTTTTTTAATGTACATTAACTGTATTTTTGATATTAAAGTTACAGACAAAATTATTTCTTATGCAGATGATACCATCATTCTCTTTAAAGAGGAAGAGCTGGAAAGAAGTCTTTCTAACAGCTGAAGATGGTTTGGGTAAGATAAAAATGTGGCTTGATGAGTCTCTGAGTCTCAATGTCTTCAAAACAAAATTTATTACATTTTCATTTACTAAGTCCAACAGATTTTAAAGCTTCACAATCGTAACTGCAATAAAGGGTCTGTTTGTTAGTGTGTAATGAAACAAAAAGAAAATAAAATATTTAGGGTTAATGGTTTAAGATGGAACAATGTTACTTTTTCAAACAGGAGATTTAGGAAACAATATATTTATTTTATCAAATTCGAGATATTCTTTAAAAATATCTATTATTACTGATTTATAATGCCTTGGCTGAGTCGCTGCTAAGATACGACATTCTAATACGAGGTGGGCTTCTAGATAACGCTCTCAACCGGATGGACTCATCACAGAATACGTTGTTAAAAAAATTGTTCAAAAAGGACTTTAGGTATTTAACAAATCTATTATACAGGGTGTCCTTTAAAATGTGTCCCAAAATTCTCAGGCAGATTCCTTAACCAAAAAATGGAAAAAAAGTTCCTATAGACCTATGTCCTAAAGTGCCCCCTAAGCGAGCAACAGCCTCTCGAAATCATTTTTTTTATTTTGATTTTTTGAATTTTCTTAAAAATGGAAACAAATAAAAGAACCAAATTTTGGCTGTTAAATATGATCAATAATAGTGACCTTTTGACACCTTCAAAAAGAAATTATTTCGTCAGGGGTGTACTTGGGAATTTTTTGAAAATTTTGATTATTCATAACTTTTTTGTGTTTTTGGTAATGACTTATCCATATTTTTTTTTACATTCTACATTGAAAACTACGTCAAAAAGGAATACTTGTTTGATCTCGATTGGAGCAGCCGTTTCCGAGAAAACATCATCCAAAGATATTCGTGCAGTTTAGGTTAATTTTCAATTTTGGCTGTTGTAGCCAAAAAGTTGGAAATCGAGGAACACGGCTTACATGTCCCTATCCTTACTTTTGAAGGTCTATTCAGTGGCAAAAAATATTAGTTGATACAGGGTGATCAAAAATCGGATGTGATTTTGGATTTTTGATCACCCTGTATCAAATAATATGTATTTTATGTCACTGAATAGACCTTAAAAAGTTAGGATAGGGACTGTAAGCCGTTTTCCTCGATTTCCAACTGTTTGGCTACAACAGCCACCTGAATTTGAAAAAATGTGATTTTTGAGTAGCTGTAGATCCTTTACTATTCATATTAGATAACAAGTGTGATATATCATTGAAATCAGATTATCGAGCAGATTCTAAAAATATAAAAATATACAGGGTGTTCCATTTAAAAAACATAACTTTGATTTGGCACGGCCTTATGAAACACCCTGTCACATCGTAACTAATTTTAAAATGTGAAGCTTAAAGCTGCCTACTTTTATTATAACAGATCTACAGAGCTTCCTCACACTAATCAATCACCCTGTATACTATTTTTAGCTCTCTAAATAAAATTTAAAAATTTAGTTCCCATTTATTTATTATGAAGACCATAAGGTTTGTATTTAGCTGTTTAGAATAAAAAAGTAAAAATATGTATTTTTTTGGCGTTTTTGTGTTTCATGGATAATTTTTTTCGCTCACTGATAAAAATGTTTCTTCAGTTAAACATTATTTCTAAAAGTGTTCTGGTGCGATTCGTTGTATTGTTATTATTTTGTTTAAAATGGCTCACAATAAC